TAGACTAGATATAAGGAAGAAATTTTTTACGCTGAGGGTGGTGAAACACTGGCACAGGTTGCCCAGAAAGGTTGTAGATGCCCCATCCCTGGAAACATTCCAGGTCAGGTTGGACGGGGCTCTGAGCAATCTGATCTAGTTGAAGATGTCCCTGCCCACGGCAGGGGGGTTGGACTAGACGACCTTTAGAGGTCCCTTCCAACCCAAACTATTCTATGATTCTATAAAACAATCCCATTTCTCAATTCTAGAATCTGAGGATGCATTTGTTACCTGAATGCTCAAGTATGCACACTATCCAGAAACTGCTGAACTGACTCACAAATGGTGTAAACTAAGTTAGAAACCTCTCTTTGGATCTCGTTTTGTTCTTGGTCAGACTAGACTAAGATTGAATAAAGCCAGACCTCCATTCCCATAATAAATAGCCATCAAATCATCCTAGGATGCAAATTCAGAGGGAGTGATTAAATAACTATTCACACCTATAGCGCTGGATGACAGAGAATAGCAGACAGGGAAATAGGCTTCTAAGCCTGACCTACAAAGAGTGGGGCCATCCCTCCTCCCTGGGGAAGCCCGTATACAGGCCCAGTGGAGGAGCCAGGATTCATCTGCAGGAGCCACAGAAATTCAGGGGAGCTCCAAGGATGCACAATGCTCATTACGCCACAGAGCTGCTGCATCTGCTAAGTACTGGGCTGAGGGGGAGGCACATGGTAGTAGAAAAGCTCTGCAATTAATTCTTTCCTTCTGGAAATCCACAGCAGTCAAACTACTCAGGGCAGCTCAGCAAACTGGGTCACTGGAGGAAGATAGGATTTGTTTTCTTCCTTTATCTTGGTGAAATTCAGATCCTCCATACATTAATGAAATGAAATGCTGCTCTTGCATCATATCACCTTCTACAAATGCTATTAGAAATGCCTTTTCTTCCTCAGTTTCCAGACTGAGGGTGGCTGATGCTCCTCTCTGACAACTTCTCTGTGTGGATTGTGCACAGTAACATCCAATGTGCTTAACCTTTACTATCTTGCATTATGAGTGTTTCAGGATTATTATCAGAGATGATTAATAAAAAAATCCTTAATTAAGTTTTTAGTTGCTGTGAGAGATAAAATAGCCTGTACATCTGATTCTGTTTGTCAAAGGAAGTGGCAGAAATATTTCAGCTACTCCTTTAAGGTAACACTTGCAACTGGAGCCAAATAAAAACCTTC